TTAGATATTCCTGTTGGCAAATTCAGAGGTTTTGGAGCCTTGTCGGCAATTTTTTTTGACGGCGGTGCTTTTTTACCCTTAATATTTGCAATGCTTATAATCTGATGACTTTTGTTTGAAAATGGTCGACTAGCCCATTTCGTACTATTTGCAGTGTATTCAAAATGACTATCTACGCCATTGATACCGACAAGTTATATTTCCGGTGCGGGGCTATCGCCCCCTTTCCCTGGCTACTATGGTGACACTACTTTTCCACCGATCCAGCGTTAATCATTGTCTGCGCAGTCCCTGAACTACCCAACCATCGTTTTCTTGTTTCCGCGATAGCTCAACTTTGTGACGACGATGACGTTTAAACTAATAAGCATTTGAGACAATGTGATTCAAAGATATTGCTCAAGCACGAAATGCGAGTTCCATAACCTTAAAAAAAAAAAACTTTTTTGAAAATGGTGATGCTATTATGACATGTCTGAGAATGTCAATCTAATGATGCGATGATAGTTTCTTTTGGATTTATATGGTCGAGTATCTACAGTCTCGTCCGACATCCATTCAAAATAAACTATCGAAGACCCTGATACTCTAATGTTTCCGGATTAAAGTTGTCGCCCCTACTCCCTGGCTCCCGCCCCCCCCCCCACTCCGGGGTCGGAATGACCGCATGCGTGTTACCAAAATGTCCGGTAAAGGGGTACTTTTCACGTACCAAAGTCCGGCTCGTACATTCACAAAATTGACTTTACACACTGGACTTAGGGGGTGTTTTCAAAAGGAGGGAACATGCATATGCGTACCCTAAATAACACTGAGGGGGGGGGGGGGGGGGGGGGGGCCGGGTCCTGGCTACACTTGTGATATTACTTTACGTCAATAGAGCTGTAATTCCACCGATCAAGTTTTTAAAGGTAAAGACCAGTTATGGTCATACGATTGCATTGTGAAAGAAACGTTGTGGAATCGATCAGAAAAGGTTGATCATCTAGCATCTAGCATCTGCAAGGTTCTGGAATCATCAAAATGATAAGAAATTTGGCCCATTCTTCGTAAAGTTACAAGCACTATACACAGAAAGATGTATATGGGACTACCCTATATCTCTCACAGACCATGAGAGAAACAAATTTACCAAATATATGAATTAGTAGGCGGTTTCCCGGCAATTTTGTTATCATCATGTATTAGTCAAAACATATTCTTTCACATGATTGGTAATGAGAGCTTCCATTTCATTTTTTGAAATTGGGGAGTTTCCAATACTGGTCTTTACCTTTAATGGTCTGCACCGTCAAACAGCGACCCAACCATCTAAATCGTTATTTCATGTTTCCGCAAAAGCTCAACGTTGTGATGAAGATGAAGTTCAAACAAATAAACATTTGAAACAATGACATTCATGATATCGTCCAAGCATGAAATGGGAATTCCATATTCTTTTGAAAACATCATTTGAAAATGGTGAGCTCTGCTGATGACTGGGAAGGTCAATTAATTCTCAATGATGCGTCATTCGTTTCCTCTGCATGATAAAGCAAGGATTTCTTTTAAGAAAAATATATCTTTTTCGTCATTACTTAGTGATATTGATTGTATGTTACGTCAAATGGAAGATAAAGTTTTACTTTGTTTTATCTCCTTAAATTTCTCTCTCTCAAAAAAAAACACACAAAAAAAAAAAAAACAAAAAGAAAAAATAGAGAGAAAGAGAATTTTTTTTGAATAAAATGCATGGCAGGACCCTAGGATGGTTGTCTGGTGGTAGTTGCCCTAGATGATGGTTATCGAAGGGGATAGTTGTTTGGGGGCAGTTGTCCGGGGGTAGTCGTCCTAGAGGGTGGTTGCCCTATGGGGTGATTGTCCTAGGGGTAGTTGTTCTAGGGGGTAGTAATTGACTGGGGTGATAATCCGGGGGTTGATGTCCAGGGGGTAGGTGTTCACCGTGTCCTAGAACCCTAGAACCGTACGGGCCCCGGGGTCCGGGGGTAATAAAGGGCGCTTGTTCAGAAACAGCATCGCATTGTCTTTCTGTTTTCGGAGTGTATAGCCTATGTGTATTATGATCCCGAAAGCTCCATTACTCATACAAATACAATTTATTCAATACTAATATTAACTGTATGATGGCGCAATGGCTCATTCAGTGGTATAGAGCAGTGGTCTCGTTATGTCTTATGCTCGTTCCACACGAGGCGTCAGCCTGAAACGGCTCAGAATCGTAGTGACGTCAGACCCGTCGTGCGATTGTCGACGACTAGTGAAGCCGATTAAAATTTTCTTCTGACTAAAAGAGTTCAGGGCACTAAAATGTCCGGTTGTTATTATTCTTATCAGTATCTAGGAGCTAAATCATGATGAAGTTTGTTTTGATTTTCTAGTACAATATTGCCATTTCTTCAAAAACCTGATCGCAGGACGATATAGTACATTTGCGATGGGCTTAAAACAAACTCTATCAATACTGAACACCTGTACAATAATAGTGTTTGCAAGTACTAGTATAATAGTATATCACTGGGGTCTTATAAAAAGGTTGAATATTGAATTAAATATTCGTTATTAATAAACTAAAATAAGAAGGCAGTCAAGTTCATCCTTTACTAAAGAATAACATACGTTATTGGAAGGGGTATCCTTACATCGAAAGTGCATTGACAGGGTTAATTGTTTTTGTGACGTCATGCTAATCAATTATGATTTTTTTTTTCTTCTTCGTATCGACCATCAGCACAAACCTTTTTTTTCTGACCGAGTTTGACATCCCGGTCCCTCAGAGCCAGAGGAGAAAAGCAAGCGACTTGTTATATGAAAGAAATAGCCTGAATACAGAATTCTTCTGCCGGTTCGCGACTTTGCGTTTTACACCCTGGCCTGGACATTTTCCCGGTAAATAGCAATGAAACTGCTTGAATGAGTCTAGTCTACGCTCCTCGATCGGGCGCGCCAGTTCCAAATCGAATCGTACATGCACAGACGTACGTCGATGCAGCATTTATACACACCGTACGCAGCTGCAATACTGAAGATATAGGATTTCAAGTTCAGAACAACAAGTTAAGAAGCTTGCTGCACGATGGAATTCATCGAGGATGATGACGGAGTGGCAATGCAGACGCCTTTGCGAGGGAGAGGGGTCAAGAGAATTAGAGAAATTAGGTCTTAGAAACAAATGACATGAATTTAAAAAATGAAAGACGTGATCCCACAATAATAGAAAATGGTACGAGTGCAATATTTAAATCACAGTTTATGTATTACATTACCATTACACATAATTATGTCGAGTGTAGTCTGTGTATGTGTCGATATGTGTACACGTGTGTTAGGGGGGGTCCGAATCAGCAAATGGTTTGAAAGTAGGCTACACGTCAAAAATTGAAACCCTGAAGAAGGCGGAATTAAACCACAAAAACCATAATATTATTTGGTTTCTCTCTTTCCTTACTTTGATTAATTCCTTCTCTAATTTTTCTCTTTCTTTCAAGTTAGTTTTTGTTTTCTCTCTCTGCTTATGACATTCTTTGTTTCCTCTCTGTTCTTTAATTATTTATTGTTTTTCTCTATTTCCTTCTGTTGTTATTCGTTGTTTTTCTCTCACTCGTACGTCTCGATACAAAAGTACATGTACCGCGTACCGCGACACTGGACATATAGGACGTACGTTGAGCATTGCAGAAGAGCTACGTGCGCGCGCAATATCTTGTCATGGATAGACTCTTCCCAGTCGGTTCCTTGAAATTTATTGGGAAAAGGTCCAGGCCAGGGTGTAAAACGCAAAGTCGCTGCCGGTTCATACTTTTTGATTTTGTATATATACTTAATATGTCTTTGTACGTTATAGAAATTCAACATGATCATCACTATTTTCTTCTTCTTCTTCTTCCTCTTCTTCTTCTTCTTCTTCTTCTTCTTCCTCCTCCTCCTCCTCCTCCTCCTCCCTCCTCCTCCCCTCCTCCCCTCCTCCTCCCTCCCCTCCTCCTCCCTCCCTCCCTCCTCCCCCTCCTCCTCTCTCCCTTTCCCCTCCTCCTCCTCCCCCTCCTCCTCCTCCTCCTCCTCCCCTCCTCCTCCTCCTCCCCTCCTCCTCCTCCTCCTCCTCCTCCCCTCCTCCCCTCCTCCTCCTCCTCCCCTCCTCCTCCCTCCTCCTCCCTCCCCCTCCTCCTCCTCCTCCCTCCCCTCCTCCTCCCTCCCCTCCTCCTCCCCCCCCCTCCTCCTCCCCTCCTCCCCCTCCTCCTCCTCCCCTCCTCCTCCTCCTCCTCCTCCTCCCCTCCTCCTCCTCCTCCCCTCCTCCTCCTCCTCCTCCCCTCCTCCTCCTCTCCCCTCCTCCTCCCTCCTCCTCCTCCTCCCTCCCCCTCCTCCTCCTCCCTCCCCTCCTCCTCCCTCCCCTCCTCCTCCCTCCCCTCCTCCTCCTCCTCCTCCTCCCCTCCTCCTCCACTAATACCCTCCTCCTCCTCCCCTCCTCCTCCTCCCCCTCCTTCTCCTCCACCTAGCTCCTCTTCCTCCTCCTCCCCTCCCCCTCCTCCTCCTCCTCCCTCCCCTCCTCCTCCCTCCCCCTCCTCCTCCTCCCCTCCTCCTCCTCCTCATCCCCTCCTCCCCTCCTCCTCCTCCTCCTCCTCCTCCTCTTTTTCTACTTCTCCTTCTTCTTTTTCTCATTATACTTATTATCATGTCTACCATCAGTTTAATGTTGTTATTATTATTATCATCTTTATTATCTTTATAATTTTTTTTCTTCTCATATCTGTCAGGCTGGAAATATTATTATTTGATTATTAATTTTTGTACATGTATGTCGGGGACCCCACTGGAAATAAGCTCTCGAGCTTTCGTGGGTTATCCTGCTCAAGCTGACTTAATTTTGATCTGTTATTCTTGTATATTGTTGGATGTTGGAAGCTTGGCGAATAAAAATCAATCAATCAATCAATCAACCCCAGCTATTTTGTTCAAAGTTGTCTGTCTCCCTCTTGTGTTTTATGTTCTGAAATACGTAACGTGATTTTGCTTGCATGTGTTATTGATCTTTGCAAACATCCCAGTGAGCCTTGCACAGCAGCCGGATTGTCAGTGCCGAAATAGAGAGCTGAGAATCAACCCAAATAGTCGATTTTACGTTTCAAAGCAAGTTACTTTGTAAATCCATCATCATGTCGACCAAACGCCAGAGAACAGGTGAAAATGATGAAAAGAACGGCACCTATCCCGATCCGCCTTTCACCCCGTTTCCTCACTTCGGTACCGATGCTATCCACGCTGGCCAGGACCCCGAGCAGTGGGCATCGAACGCCGTCGTGCCGCTCATCTCACTCTCGACCACCTTCAAACAAGAATCGCCCGGTGTTATGCCAGGAGTAAGCTAAGACCACTTTTCAAAATTTTCTCTCTACCATCAATTTGAAATGAATTTGAATGCTTTAGCCTTTAAAGGTACACCGTATATCCAGGTCTCAAGACCAATGTCTGTTGAAAGTTCAATCTTAAACTAAAGTAAAAAACCTGATTCATGAAAATGTTGGAAATTTGGCAATTCAGGATTTTTGACCTGAGAAAGAATTTAGTAACTTCGAGGCTTGGTAATAAAATCGCGTAAATCAGACTTTCTCAACAGATATTACTCCTTTTTTTGCACAAAAACTGATCACTTAGCCTTTGGCGGATTCACAAAAATGAAAATGTGTCGGTGTGTGCGGGAATAAATCATTTGCTTTTGCCTTTGCCTTTGGATTTAACAAAAACTTTGCATAAATTTCCACTAGAGGTCTAGATGAGTAGATCTAAGCTGTAGCAGCATAAATGGTTGTCCTTTATAATATTGTCTAACATAAGTCTTAAAAGACTCATGAAATATTTGCATGTAAACTTCATTAAATTGCTTTTTTCATTCAAGTGACTGGACAAACAACTTGTCCGAACACAACGTTTGGTTTTGGGTAGACTATACTACATAGTACATACAGTAGATCTACATGTACATGTAAATTAAACGATTTTCTTTTTCTTCAGAGCTTAAGTTGATTCATCAATTCTTCATAAGCTAGATACATGTAGATTGCAATTGCATGACTGGCAAACAACACAACTAGTTAAGGCCATGTAAAATTGATTTCATGTTGATCGTCCCCGCCCGCTTCCTTTTTGGGGGCCGCCTCCTATTTTTTGTTATTTGTTATTTTTTTTTTTTTTTTTTTTTTTTTTTTTTTTGAAAGAAAAAAACATGAAAAACACTGCTAAAATGGCTCTATTTCTGATTTAAAAAAAAAAAAATTGTCGGCGGCCATCTTGAAAAAAAATAGCCTCGACTGTCAGGGAAAATGTACCGAGCGGCCATTTTGAGCGGCCATTTTGAAATATCAAATATCAAATAACATGGTACACCCTCCTCCTCTTTTTCAAAAAATCCGGACGATCAACATGTAATCAATTTTACATGGCCTAATTGAGAGAGATAGTTATGTTAGCAGAAATTGCTTCAGATTTGCCTCACCTACCATCCCAGTATAGCTTCCTGAGTGAGCTGCCAAAAGGATTACCCAACCAAGTACCAAGTCATTTTACGGAGCTACAATTACAAATAGTTCCGTCCGATAGAAAAGTATTGTACATGTAAATAGTATTTAACCTGTGACTGCATCCTAATGGCTACATAAATAAATGTATATACCGGTACATGTATATGCAGCTGTTACAACTGTCTCAATATGCTAGGGCAAATATTGGTTGGATGACATACAGAGCAAATGCTAATGTGTCAATTTTGTTATGTGTTCAGACACACAAATCTTAACGTTAAAACAAAAGAACCAAGTAGAGAATTCAATCAGTTTTTATGAGGAAAAAAAAGCTCCCATGAACAGTTAAAACTAGTTGGCTTGCTGCGAAAGAGAGAGAGAGAGAGAGAGAGAGAGAGAGAGGGATGGAGAGAAAGTGAGGACAAAACAAAACTTGATACAGTGAACTGAATTTGTACATTGTAAATGGTTAATGGTTAACTCCATATGAATCAAGTAAACGGTCCTAACATGATAAAGTCAAAGTTGTCAGTGGAGTCTGGACAGTGATATTTTCATCAGAATGTGTCTTACATGTACCTGTACATGTATATAAGGCAGCCTTGCCAAATAAATAAATAATCATATTTCATGAACATTCAACAGAAAGTTTACACAGATACCATTATTCTAGGGTTACTTACATTCTGGTTTATAATATTCATGTACAAACAGGAACTGGTTCCATTTTAGAAATATAATTTGTGCAAGTCATGATGACCTGCATGTGTAAGGTTTTATCAGCTACTCTAAAGACAAAGTATGCACATTTCTGTGCAGGGCAAATTTAACTTCCCGTACAGTTCTACTACATACAAAATCTACAATGTACACATGAAGCTAGACCTAAATGACAGAAGTGTAAAATAAGAAAGTCATTTCTTCTATTTCCCCTCTATTTACATGTGTAGGTCCATTCTCAAACCATGTACATACATGTAGCCATACATGTACACACTTGACTCGGACTGAATGATCTTCGTCCACTTCACTATAAATAAAATCACATTACTTTAATAGACAAGAGAGTAACTACAAGAGAGCCAATAACACAATCATTCTGCAGCAACAATGTTAGTTAGATTTTGGTGTGCAACAAATACCAAGAGACCAGTTTGGCAATATTTTTCTAATGAAATCCTAGACCTTTCAAAATATATGTACATGGAAACCAAATTTTGTTTTGCAGTGGCCTGTACAGTTGGGTTGTACATTGTCTTGTGTGATGCAATCAGATTATTGCCTGGGCTCATAGCATTGGGGGTCAATAGGAGGTGTCTCCCCATGACTGCTCTGCTATTGGCTGGCTCTTATCTCTTTACAATGGGAGCAAGCTCAACATGAAGTTTGGTTTCTTGTTTCAACTTGGCTTGAACTGGCCTTGTTGTAAATGTAAAGTAGTATCAAAGTGACTATTCATTGGCATTCCAAAAAATGTTTGCTTTGTACATTTAGGGTTTCATTCTGACAAGGTATTTGCAACAATGCATGCTTTAAATTGCCTGTTTTTTGTAATTGTAAAGGGTTATTAAAAGTTTATATCAAAATGCAATCAGAGTTTGTTTCCCCTTTGTATAAACCAGTAATATATAAATAACATGACCTGTGAGTAGACTCATCAGCACATGCATAACATTTACTGTAGTCACATTGAAGTCAACTCCAAATATTTCTGTTTCATATTTAAATCTTTGTCCTGATACAATCATTTTATCATTCCAATCCTCTAAATCGTTTTCCATATGAATATCACATGTACATTGTTTTATTGGGATACTTATACAAGATCTCCTAATGATATAGGTCGATCTCCCTGAAAGGCTAAAGTTCACTGCACTTTTGGTTGGACACGCACTAGCTGCTGTGCTTGCCAAACAGGATCAGGGTCCTGTTTCATTCAACTTGTTGTAACCGATAACAAATGCTTAACTTCTATGACAAATATGCTCTCAGCCAATCAAATGCCATGATCTCAGTAGCTTATAACAGTTATTGTAACTTGTTTTTGATACAAAGTTTTATCAAACAGGGCCCGGATGTGAATCTGGTGTGTGTCACTGTATTACATGGTAATCACCTGTTGTATTGTACACTTTCATTAATTTCTTGTACATACTGTACATGTTGGTCTCATAAACATTTGGTTTACATCCATTGTGCATTGTTCATTAAAAAGTCACCTTGAAACTAAGCCCATTGTTCTGCTCTGAAAATAGAATTCAAAACGATGAGAAAGCTCTCACTGTGTCCACACTACCTAAATTCATTGTTTAGTTTTGTTGTCTGAACGTTCTATAAAGAAACGTAAATGAAACGCATTTTTGTGCGTCATTTTTTAACAAAAAAAATGATATTTAAGAATAAGTGTCCTGTTTTAGTCTGAATGTTGTATTGTACAAACATTATATTACCGGCTACAGGTCCCATACTATCTGACAATGGTCAGGAATATTAGCCACTCTTTTGGGGTTTGCAGGAACAGTCGAGAACAACACAAAACACACGCACAAAAAACAAAGGAGAAATTGAAATAACCCCCCCCAAAAAAAAAAAAAAAAAAAAAAAATCAATTCTAAAAGAAATCTGGTTGAAAAAAAACCTCCAAATAAAAACAAAATATGGATGGTATTGTAAAAAAAGAAAATATATCCATAAATAAGCTCCTGACAATGACAACAAAAAGTTCATTTAATCTGAGAGGAAATATGTGGCCACTGGCCAGTACTGAAGTTGAATTTTGCTCATATTTTTCTTTATTTTTCAAGAAGCATACAACTTTTTTTGACAAAAGATTCAAAAACTTTCTTCTGTTGTCTATGGAGAACCCTTATTTTCATGTTGTGAAATTTAACTAGAACTTTCTTGACAGGAAACGTATCTTAATTTTCAGTTCTTGCTAGATTTTTTATTGCAAAAAAATGTGTAGTGATGCAAAAAAATGATGCAATCGTTTCCTGGCAGGAAACTGTCACTAACCATATGCATTTAAATCATATGTGAAATTATCTGGTTTTACCATGCATGTACAATGTATATGTATGGGTGTTGCCTATACATGTATGTAGTATACTAATTTTACCATTATTACAACTTCAGAATACATACCTGTACAAAGCCAGTCTGGCAGATGATATTAAAGACCTTATCCCAATGAAAATACAGTTATAGCAATGGCAAGCTGAATGAATGTGGAATACAAATTATTTAAAGAAATGAAACATAATTTCCCTTTCAGTACTTTCAGCACAAAAGCAAATTAAAACCACATTTACCGCACCCCTCTAAATAACGGGTCAACAGTGGTCAAATTTGCCGCATTTACGGTGTTTGACTGTGACAACATATGGGACCTGATCTGCTCGCCTATATAGCTGAGGCGATGAGCCATGGTTGAGTAATGCAAAGTCATTGTGAATATGCGTACTCCACATGAGATGATGTCAATATTTAGGGTTTAGGTCGACAATTTCTGCTTTCCAAAGCTTTTCAAAGCTCTCTCCTCTGATAGACACTAACATAGCATACCGGTACATGTAATTAATGTATTATTGTAATCCATGGCTTATAATATAAGCTTCCCATTAATATTCATCCATATCATTTTTCACTTCCGACAGGGTCTTTTACCTTTCCAGTTCACCTTACTGTGTGGACTGAATTATTTACAAGTGACAAGCCCCACCTTTTTGTTTGCACTAGATCTTGAGATCTACACAACAAACAATGATTTTGCATTATGAGGGTCAGCTACTTTTATCGCAGATGTCCTGTGTACCATACATGTATACAGTACTATGTAGGCC